CGCGAACAGGGGCAAAATTTTGCGAACGGAGCGGTTCGTGACCCGAACTGGTCGTGAACAGAAGCGTTCGTGAACCGAGGTACCACTGTACAAACCTCATTTTGAAAATGAGGCAGTTTTTCCTATTTCTGATTACCATTTGAAGCAGTATGCACAATTTGCTGGATACAGTTAGGGGTACTAATATCATCTCTTCAGCCATCACTGACTTTCCAGTTGGTCTTTGACACATCCTGGTGCCCACATGAATTCCACAGCCGTAAAGGCTAGAATTGTTCACTTTCATAATGATAAAAAAGGGAAAAAATTACAGGGTCAGCAAGCCAAATTCTTGTCCCCTTGGTGTCCATAACAGCCTTGGAAAGGGGTTAGGAAGGATGATCACAATAGGATGGATTTTGAGTGTGGGACATAAGAACATGAACGGCATGCTCAAGCGGGGGGGGGGTGTCCAGATTTTGGATGCTCATCCTGTAGCTGAGAGAAACAAGGTTGTATGTTCTTTCCTGCAGAAGTAAACGAGGAAGAGAAGAGAAAAGATGAACCAGCAGAGGCCAAAAGGTGAGATTCTTTCCTGGAAGGTGAGAGGAGGTTAGGTGTCACCTGTGGAAATGCTTTTCTGTAGCTTCTGGACCTGCTCATTTCCTGCTCATTTAAATGAACTGTTTTCACACGTGCATGAAAATGCTCGCTTCCCTGTGGCCTGCTGTCGCCATGCAAGCTGGAGATTTGGGGAGGCGGCTTCTCTAGGGCTGGCTTGGGATGTCTTTAAGATGGCATTGGAAGGGATAGGGATCCCTTTGTGATGTGACCAGAGGATGAAAAGCCTGCTTGGCAAGTTTAGAAGCATGAACTGGCTTCCGTCCCTGGCGCTTCCTAAGCTAACCGTCCCCTAACATGCCTCCTTTATCTATCCAACAGCATAAAGGAGGAGACGAAATCCACCTAAGAAACTTTGGACAGCTGGGGAACGCCACGCCTCCCTGGTTCTCTGATCTGGCTGTCTGACTCCCTCCTATTCCACGAGATTTGTATTTTATATGTTTCTGTTGATTATTTCTATAAATTTGCCAGGGACTTGAGATCGGGCTGCCGTTCCCTGGGTGAGCTCCTGGGAGGGTCCCGAGGAGGCTCAGCCCCGGGGAGAGCCGTTTACAAGGCTCCCGCTTCTCACGTCCCTCTTGCTTCCGTACTGGGGGGGTTTGTGCGTTTCCTTCCGAAAAGCAAACCCCAGACTTCCCTTTGCCTTGTCCCTCCACATGTTTCCAAAGGGTGACTCTCCTCTTGGGGAAGATAATTTTCCAGGGGAAGCTGGTCATCCACTTTCCCTTCCCTTTCCTAGTTTTCTGAGGTATGGATACAGCCATAAAGCTTTGGAAGAGTTATTTTTTGGGGGGTGGGGGGTTGGAGCTCAAGAATCCCAAACCGTCATACCTGTCTATAGGCCTGGGAAGGGTCGACCCCTTTTCAGCAACCCTGCAGTTATGTGGCTTCTCAGCATCCCAGACCCCACTTGGCTAGTCCCTCTGGGGACACTTGCTCTGGCCCTGGCCCTGGCCCTGCCTGCCCCCGGGCGAAGGAACAGGAGTTGCGGGAGGCCTCACTTGTGGCAGGAAAAAATGGCGGTCCTCCTGTTGGAAACAGGAGCGGATGTGGATGCCTCTCGATGACGTCTCGAGTTTCGCATTCCCCGATCCCCTTTTAAAATCGTCTTGGGGCTTTTGCTTCAGAACTGGCATCCAAGCCTCGAGGGGCATGTAGGAAAACCACCCTGTTGAGCGATGGCTCTTCAGAAGGGCATCTTCCTAAAACAAAGAAACCAACCCAAACTTGCTCCCTGTTCCTGAATTGCGTAATACTTTCAGGAGGGGTCAGGAGGCAGCGTTGGCACGGCAGGCTTGCAGGTGGGGTGGGAGTTTTCCAGGGGACCCTGGATGGAGGAGGTGGAGCGTATACAGAATGTCACTGTTAGGGGTTGACCCCAGCAATGCTGCTAATTTTGCCATGTCACAGGGGTGGAGGGGGGGAGGGTTTTTATTTTTATTTTTTTAAGCCTTTGGTTTAGCTGTTTTTTTAGTCGCTTGGACGCAAACGCCCTGCCGTTGTTCCTACTCTTTGATACTTGTATTGGTGAAACGAAAGATCATTGTATTTGTGTGTTCTGGGGGTGGGATGGGAAGATATATATATATTGTGTTTTTTAAAAGAAAATATAAGTTTTTATTTTCGTTTTTGGAGGAAGAAAAATCTTTGTAATAAAATGGGTCTGTTTTTCTGTTTTCAATGGTGAATTATTCTTGCAGACAGGCATCTTCCAAAGTATGGCGCTCCTGAGTAGCATGTTTGAATAGCACCCATAGGGTGCAGATAAAAGGTCGCTGCACAGGGCTGAAGGACTTGTTTCACATGTAGGAGGTTCAGGTCCAGGCCTCTCCCCCTTCCTCGCCCCCAGAAAGGTGCTGCCTTGAGGATTACTGTATACAGTCTAGAATTGGGTACATGCACCCAGGCAGGGCACAGGAGATGGTGGGAGCAATGAAGATGCAAGGACACATGGAAGTAATGCGTTGGTGACAGGGAAGCACAGCTTTAGGGGAAAGAAAGGGTTACTGACAGCACAGATGCCACCTGCTTCTAGTCCAGTGTTTCTCAACCTTGACAACTCTTAGATGTGTAGGTTGGCTGGGGAATTCTAGGAGTTGAAGTCCACACGTCTTAAAGTTACTAAAGGTTGAGAAACACTGGTCTTGACACAGATGCTTAAGACAGCTGTGTTGGCAGAGTTTTTGGGTTCTGGCATCAAATGTGAGGAACTGTACCAGGCCCTTCTCAGCTGTGGCAACCCAGTGATTCTGGAATGCTCTTCCAGAGGTGATGCAGTTTACAAATTTTGCCAAAGTGTGTCTTGCTTAAGTATACATGGTTGAATAAACCACAACGTAGGGTCACTTGGCTCCTAGCAGAGAGAGTTCTTGCTTAATGCTGCATGTAAACCCGGCTTGCACGTACATGTTTTTGCACCCAAATGGATGGGTTCTGCCTGACTGCAGCCTCATTCACAGAATGCCACCCCTCCAACATTTCAACTCCTCCATTTTCCTCCTCCTGCTTTGACAGGTCTTCTATACGCTTCCTGCCAGGAGCAAATTATTTCAGCGTTGTTGTGGAATGTTTCACTTGTGGGACACGGTCCTGGGAAGAGGAACGCTGCTCAGAGCCAGGCGTTTTCCACTTTCCGCCATGAAATTGAACTGATTGGGGTTTCTGCTCAGCTGGGGTTGTGGGATTGAGTAGCCTGATCACAGGATGGTTGAGCATCCCAGTTCTTTGCTTCCTTTGAGGAGACATTTAGCACAATGGGAATGATGGCGCACACCTGTTGGTGCTAGCAGAGCAGCCGAAACTGGACTAAAAATGGAGGGTGCAAAAGCCGTGACTGCAGCTGCAACCCTGTTGGGCTGCTGCAAACGCTGGGATGTGTGCCCACAAAGCCTCAGCTGCGTCTTGGTAAGCCCCCATGCTCCTGCAGCGATGCCCAACACACCCTGTTTAAGCTTTTGTTTCTGGTTGCTCAGCAGCTGCTGCATTTACAGCGTTTTTTATATGTAAAGAGTATCCAGTGCATTCAGGAAAAGCGTTGAAGTGGAATAGTGGGTAAGGAATTGGACTAGGAGCAGAGAGACTTGGGTTCAAGCCAAGATGCGTCCTGGTGACTTGGGTCAGTCACGCTCTCAGCCCAACCTACTTCACAGGTTTGGGTGAGGAGAAATGGGAGGGAATCCAATTCATGACTCCAGTGCCTTGAGCTCCTGAAGAAAAAGTGGGATAGAGATCTAACAATAATAAAATACCCCGGAACTTCTCATCATTTGGAGCCAATTTTCAACTGGAAGTCTGTCCAGATTGTCCATCAGCATTGCTAGCGGAGGGAACAAGAAAACGATTTAAGTTTCTATGCCTGTGGTTTCTACCCAGCAACCTGCATTGCAAGGCTGGCGCTTCCTCCCCCCTTACCCAAAGCGCAAAGCAGCTGCGGATGGGTGAAAGACATAGCAAGAATCACAACCAAGAACCCTTTTGGGCACTTACATCACCATTTTACTTGAATCCCGGAGGGACAGCTGGCCTAATAAACAACTATTTGCAACCATTATCTCCTATTCTCTGGAGACCAGGAAGTGTTTTGTGGAGGAAAGCTTATTGCAGCTGCTTCTCAACAGGTAACTAAAGGCCAAACCTGACTTCACCAAATTCACCTTTTCCTGCTCGCACTCCCAGATGTGCTAAGGGGGTAACCCTCCACTGGTCCCAACGCTGTGGGAGTGCCTAGCTTCAAGAAGGTTGACCAAAGACCCTGCATGGCCTTTGGGAAGGAATGGTGATCGCCACCAGCATGTGGGTCTGTGAACTGCAAGGGTTAATGGCACGCAACAGAGCAAGAGAGATAACATCTTGGGCTGGGCAAGTTGTTTTATTCAAAAACCAAGCCCAGAAAGCAAACTTGCTAACTTCCTTTGGCTTCTTTGGAGGCTGCTGGGGTTGGAAGAATTAGCTAGATCAGCCCTCCGCGATCTGATGTTCTCCAAATGTGCTGGACTACACCCCCTATCCTCCTCAGCCAACACATGCTGCAGCTCGTCCCGTCATGCTTTCTAAAGACAGACGTTGCGCTGATCAGCAAAACGTTCCTGCTTGCTCACTGGCTCTTCCCTGAACGGCGAAGATTTGCAAGAACCAAGTCAAATCAAAGAGGCAAAGACCAAAAAAAAAAGCTATGGTGAAACACACAAAAACATTTAGCCATTCCTGTCCCCAAACAAGACCAGGCAAGCCGGTTAGAAGAATAGGTGCTGAGCTCAAGACTTGTCAACATAACAAATTGCTCTGATGCAGCTGGATAGCCTATGCACTGAGAGGTAAATCTTCCACGCAGGAGGGCCACTCTTTGTACCGAAAACCTCTGCTGACCCCCGTGGCCTGCGTGGCGGTGGGATGGCTGGTGGCTAAAGCTGCACGCCAACATGTTCCTTTGGTGCTTTCGTCCGTCTTCCACCGCCGCCGCCACCACCTTGGGAACCTGCAACCGGCCACACTATTGGAGAACGGTTGGTTCCCGCACCTGCAACTCCCTGCCTGCCTCCATCTTAGGCAGAGAAACAAGGGCTGCTGCCTCGTATAGTGATTAGCGGGCACCTCTCCCTGATCGGAGTTAAAATGGCTGCCAGGCCATATTCTGGCCCCTGGCTTCGCTGCTGGAGAAATGCCTCCGTTTCCCCCACCCCAGCTGGAGAAAGACCACAGAAGAAATGCTTTCAACCTCGGGAGCCATTTGCCTACAGCCGGAACACCCTATGGAGCCCATCCTGGTCTACCTGGGAATCCCAGCAAGATTTGCTGGCACCCGTTCAGACATGCAGGACCAACATTTAAGCTACCTGCTGGATAGAGCTGGAGAGGGGAGCGCTGCATGAAAAGATTGCGTTGGGGCCCTGGTTTGAAAAGGCTCACGGCTGGATAGCAAGCAAAGTCTTCTTGCTGCCGCCCGGCCTCCCATTCATCAAGCAGGTCAAGGCATTGAGGGACTCCTTACGAATGCAATAGGAAGAGCGCGGAATGGATGTTCCGGCCCTGCAGGAATTCACATTCCTGCCAAGCGCGTTTCAGAGTGCCGCCAAGCAATGCTCCCGCGGCCTATGAAAAACTGGCACGCACGTTTTGAAACGCCAAGCACCACCACCCCAATCCGTCCTGAAGCTTACGGCTTTTAAAAAATCTGTTCGTCGGAAAAGGTTCTACCAGACTCTTCCTGATATGTAGCTTAAGTGCGTTAAGGCAGAAATCTGGGAACTTCCCCACAGAGCGTGGCTCCGATTCCTGGCCGCTTGGCCAAACTTCCCTAGAGAAAAGGGCCCAACTCGGATCCGTAAAGGGGTCAACCATTTATTCCTTTCAAATGTTACAATAAGACCCATACAACTTTTGTTTAGGAGTTAGAAAACTGCAGATCAGAAGTAGGGTCATTAAAAAATTATTTACAAAGACAAGGAAACGAAAATTTAAGTCACATCATACAGCCCAGCCCCTCCGCCCCTCCAACCCCTCCTCCCCACCCCCCTCCCCACGGGGTACCCCCCCCACCCCCTAAATAAACCCGAAGTAGTTCTCCCTCTGATGTCAAATTAAACACAGTGGACTTACACGCTTTATGGTTTAAAGCCAAGAGCAAGACATTATAAAAAACTAACCAGATTAGCTTTTTAAATGGTTGTTTCTATAAAAAGCACAAAATACTTTTAAATGAAGTCAGAACCAGGAATGTAAACCAAGAGATAGAATATCCGTTTTGAAGAACGGGTCAGTTGCTGGTCTGTTGGACTTTTTGGGAAAAAAAAAAGAGCTGCTTTCGAAGATTAGTAGAAACAGAAGATCCGAGCGGAAAAGAACTTGGTGTTAATAGCTGGAGTCTCATTAAATGGAGCAAGTTCCAGTTTCTGTCCAGGATCAGAATCTCTCCATATAGTTTTAAGAGGGGCTTTAGAGCTCCGGCTCGGGTGGCAGCGGGGCCCTCCGGGGTCCCCAGGATCCCAAGCTGGAGACTTTTTTCTTTTTTTTCTTCACTGTGTTGGAGGAGTGAGCCGGGGGGGGAGACGTTGTGGAGTGAAAAAGCTTGCCAGCTCTATGCAGAAGGCCTGGGCTTGTGGTGGGCACGTGATCAAGGCAGCAGTTCCGTGGGGGTGCTGGGATGGGAAGGATGGCACAGACAAGTCTCTTTCCGATGGACGGGTGGGCAGCAGAAGTCAGCTCTACTCTTCTTTCTGCTCGGTGGCAGCAGCAGTGTCGGCTGCAACGCTGGGCTCAGCCTCCGCCGATTCTGAGGTCTCTTCTGGCTTTGTGCCCCCCTCGCTCTCGCCAGAGGGCTGCTGTGGCTGTTCCTCCTCCTTCCCTGGCCCGTCGCTGCCCTCTTGCCGCTTGGCCACCGGCTCTGGCTGATTGTCGGGGGCCGCGGCCTCCTCGGGGGCCGCCTTCTCCTCTTTGGGCGCGCTGGCCTGCTCCCCCTCCCCGGCCGCAGCGGCCGCCTGGCTCTCCTCCGCCTCCTCGGCCTCCACCTTCCCCTGCTCCTCGCCAGGAGAGGACGCGGCCGACGCGTCTCCGGCTTCCTTCTTGGCCTTCCGGAAGGAAATGCCGCTCAGCTTGAAGGACTTCTTGAAAGAGAACCTCTTCTTCTTCTTGGGCGTCTGTTTGGAGGTGGCGCCCTGAGCAGCTCCGTCGGGTTTGGCCTCGCCCTCGGCCACCGGAGCCGGCTCTATGGCATCTCCGCTGCCCGCCTCGGCCTTGGCGGGCTCCTTGGGGGCCTCTGCCGAGCCACTGCCGTTCAGGGAGCTCGCCTCCCCGTCGGCCTTGGGGGACACGTCCCCGTTGATTTTCACATGGCCATTTTCCTGGAGGAAGAAACAAAAGGCTCAGTTACAGCCACCGCCCCCGGGTCCTTTCAGCACCCCACCTACCTGAATCCCACCTGGCTGATAAAAGCCACCCCCCACTTGCAAGAGGTGAAAACTGGCATCCCATAGTCCAAGGGCAACCCCAGAGTAAACCGGTTGCACCCCCGCTCGACTGCCCTTACACAATACACACAACCTGGCTGCCGAGTTGATGCATTTGCTGGATCATAAGTCACCCGGGTCTACCCAATTCGTTAAGCCACCGAAAAGCTAACCAAGTTGGACTGCCGAATCAGGGCTCGGTTATTTCGGAAAAAGAGTCTACTGGGTTGATTCTTCCAGAAAGCAGGCTACAAATTTCCTCCCATCAAGGTGTGCCACACTACAACTCCCATCATCCAACTAGATGGATGATGTGCACTGCGATCAGACGGCGGGGGGGGCACGCTAGCGGGTCAGGGCTGACCCGAGCTCTCCCAGGGTTTGCGCGCCGTTGAAACGCAAGAGCGACGCTTCGCCCCTGCGTCCTGCCTCACCTCCCCCCCGCGAGGCGCCTTCAACGTCCCCGCTTTTCGCAAAGGGCCCCCCCGGCGCCTCCGCGGTCTCCCCCCA